ATGGCCACGGCCATTGAAACATGGCCAACTAAAAAATTGCAACTGAGACAAATTTAAGAAGCAAAAATTAAAAAGACAACTTTAATTAAGTTCTTTTTGCAGTCAAAATGGGTCGACAGAGAGTGAAAATAGAGCTAAAAATTCATGTCAAAAAACATAATTAAAGTACAAAAATAATAAATTTAACGCCACTGCTAAACAACATTTTCAATGTCGTTGACTGACCGTAGCTGACAGAAGTCGAACTAGGAGCAATCCGGGAGCTGAAGCCAGTCCATGCTCTGCGGAAATTCTAGCTAACAACAGACAGACAAAGCCAGCTGAAATACAATTTTGAGCTTGATAAACGATGTCTGACAATAGATGAAGCGTTTTCAGCTTTAATTATGCTGGGCAGGTAAATAATAATCTAACGATATTTGAGGGCTGTCCATTGATTCATTGGCTGGTAATTAGGCGGCTGACGCGGCGTATACGTCATCGTGAATTGAAATGAAAATGCGAGCAACAAGTTTCTCGCATTGAAATAACCTTAGAATAAATTGCCTCACGTTTCCGTCGAGCACACACACACACACGCATACATGCACACTCAGGTACTCTACTCTAGAGAGCCGGCCAAACTAGTTGGGGAGTGTAACAGCAGCAACTGTGTGTGTGTGTGTGTGTGTGTGTGTGTGTGGTGTGTATTTACTCGTTGCCATAAACAAAAGGCTGTTGCTCAAGTCGAACAAAAATTCAAATTGAAATATTTTTATAGACTGCGTTTTCCCCATTTACGTAGCAACAGACAATAACAACAACAACAACAGGCCAAATACAACAATGGCTCATTGTATGAAAAAAAATAAATAAAACTGGCTCGCAACGCACGTGAGCATCACATGCCCAAAACATCTAGCGAGGACAGCCTGTAGATACTGATAATGATATATACATACATATATATATATCACTTACGTCACATATAATACAAATATATATGTATGTATGTATATAGATTCGTCTGCATATTTGAGTTGCGATTATGAAACTCTGTTTCCAACCAATTACCGATTGACTTACAACGCAAAAACAAAGACAACGAAAAACCCGAAAAAGCTTCGATTTGAGTCGAGTTGATTTTCGAATTTTGGGTGTGTAATTTATTTACTAACTAGTTGACCAGCTGGCTGGCTGACAATGTGGCTACCGATGAGGTCATAAACCACATACATAAGGGCTAAATGAAGCTCGTTGAAAAAGAGGCAAATGAAACTTATGCTAGATAAATTGTGGATTAAGCATAGATCGTTTTTTTTTAAAGATATATGCTAGGTAGATGTACATCAATATTTTAGAACTTTTATTTGTTTAAAGGAAAAGAGAATTTAGTTTACTCTAGATACAATTTATCTAGAAGAGCAGCCAATTTAGAACTCTTCTTACTTAGGATGATCCACACTGTATAAATATTTGAAGTTAATTACCAATAAATTTAGATTTAAGCTAAATATAGATTACAAAATATAGATTCTAAAATGATAGCAAAATTATTGTAGCTCTCTGATAGATCGAGTTTGAAATACTTTTAACTAACTCTTGGTTAAATTCTAAAAAATTAGCAAATTATTTATTATATATTATATATTATAAAAACCCCAATATATTATATATATATCAAAATTTTGTAGAGCTTTCAAAAGCTTTGCAAGTTCTATTTAACTACACATTTAACAAAAACTAAAGGAAATACCGTTTCTACATTGATCAAAAGAAAGAAAAAATGCTTTGCGTAAAGCTTATTTCATTAAAAATTGTATTTTGTTTTGTTTTCAAAAAGCAAAAACGTGAGCTCAGGGTCAAACGCGTGAGAGAAATATTTTTAGAAGCAGCATAGGAAAAACAAAAAAAAAAAAAAAAAAAAAAACAGTGTGCCCACATCTTGTGAGATCGATAAAACTATGGGAATGAGATGTTGGCGCTGCGTATCTGTTAGATACATTGAGACAAAGCTCTCGCTCTCTTCCAGCTACAGCTGACAAACATATTGACAAGCCACACGGAACAGATACGGGCATCTGAGTTGGCATTGAGACTGGCTATCTCTATACGTATCTGGGTACCTATGTATCTTTGTATCTGTAACTGGGTATCTCACAGCGCACACACACGCCCCACTCAGTGCAATGCAATTGCAAAAGTACGAGTATTTAGCGATTATTAGTGGAAAAGCTACAGCCGAGAACAGGCGGAAAACAAAAGCAAAAACTAAAGCACTGAGCGAGTGTAGGAAGTGAAACGATAAATGAGCGCAAGTAAACGAGAGGGAGAGAGAGAACATATTGAAAGAGAGAGAGGGAGAGAAAGAGAAAGAGAGTGAGAATGAGATGTGGAGATAAATAGAAAACGCAGCTCGAGGCTGATGCCGGTCTCAATCGGCTCTGTGTGAGTGTGCGTGTGTGTGTGTGTGTGCTTGTTTGTATCTCTCAGATACATATAGTGGAACATGCAGCAACGCTTATTAAACAATCTATGACAACTATTATCAATAATAATTTTTTACGTATGTATTTCAGCCTGACTTATGACGCAATTGAGCAGCAATAGCGAATATTCTATATAATTAGCTTTGAGAAGCGTAAGGCGTCAATTGAACGCCCCGGCTATAGTCGATATGTATGGCCCCTTTGTATGTATGTATTATAGAGCAAAGTATGTTTATTTAACCCTGAACATCTATCGCACATTGCTTTTATTTCTTTTAATTTAATTTTTCTTTTCTTTTCCCTCTTTTAGTCTAGCGAATTCCTTCACGAATTTAATGCTAAACAAATTTATTATTACGACATCGATGGCATCGTCATGGGCATCAGAATCGGCATCGACATCGGAATCGAGCGATTCTATAAATGCCAGCAAGATGTTTCACTTCTTCTGTAATCGTGACGAGTGACGTAATTGCTATAGGGGCTGTGGCCCGGTAAACGATTGCTCGGAGGAGCACAACTCACGGCACACAACGTCAGCTCAGATGTTCAGTTCAGCTCAGTGCAGAAGCAGAGAGTCGAAAGGCTTCTCAAATAACCATATTCTCTTAAAATCATCTATAATTCTTATGTGTTTATAGGGCATTTATATAAGCATTGATCACATGATAAGATATTCAGTGAAAATATTTATCTAGCTGCAAAGATTATGATATTGTGATGGCCTTAAATCTTAGACTTCCATAGATCACAATCACCTATAGAGCAGACTCTTTTAGAAATTTAATATCTCAAAAAAAAAAAAAAAAAAAATCATTTTGTTATACAAAATAATTGAATTTATTTTCGATAGACATGCTAAAAAGTTTTTAACTTAAACATGTAATTCTTTGATCCCCATTTCTAACATGTTTATCTATTAGGGAGAAATATTTCGAAATTATATTCGATGCATAGCTCGATTAAGCGCAGTACTTTATGTTTTGGCGGCAGCAAAGTAAAGTAAAAGGAAAATGCTAAAAATATAACTTAGTTTGGTTTGGTCATATAACATGACTCTGTTTATACTCAACTAATTTTATATAGAATATAATATAAAATTAAAAATATGCAAATTAAGTTAATACTTCTACTTCAGCTCATGGATAAGGGTAAGCATCTCTGAAGATTGCTTTTATCTCTGCAATGGAGCAACAACAAAGTCATTAATTTCACTGGCTTATATAAGGTAGAGTAGAGATTTCATACCTAAGAACTTTATTCTATTCAAATTAGACACGCTCTCAATATTGCTCCTGCTCTTACTCACTCTCTCTCACTCTCACTCTCTCTCTCTCTCGCATTACTTAAGATCTAACCTATGTAGACAACTGTAGCTTGAATATAGAAATTTGTATGATGCGGCTTTTTGGATTTGGGCCATCCCGGGGCAACTGTGGAAGAAGGCCACACTCATTCAGTTAGCCGCGTTAACCCAGTTACGTGACTCTGAAACGCGAATTGCGACCCCCAAAACCAATTTGCCGTGCCACATAGAAATGCATTGAATGCACATAAGTGCACAAAAAGCATATATACACTATATTATATATATATAAACATAGAGATGCTCACACGCACACTCACACGCACACTCACACTCTCACTCACACACACATACACATCAAAAGCACATAATGTGTGCAGCTATGCTGCCCCCTAGCATTGTTCGGCTACATAGATACATAGATATGTATGTATGTGTGTGGGTGTATATATATGTGTGTGTGCACACCCCCAACATGCTGGCTGGGGCTGTCGCTGGGGCTGGGACTGACCTTGGCACAGTTTTGAATGCCGCCAGCTGCTCAGTTCTGGTCTTTTTGTTTTTTTTTTTTGTCATGTTTCTTTTTGTGGGCGGACGCAACGTGCAACCAAGCTGAGACGATCCAATCCAATATATAACTAAAGCTTCATTTATATACCATATAAATATCTGTACATTAGTATAGATATATACACAAGTATATACCCACCTTTAGCTTGAATTAATTGACCAAAGAAAACAGTTAATAATCATCAAGTGCAATTGACTTTCATATTATGATAATTGTTCTATAGCAACTCTAAAAGATAATTCAATTATCCGCTATGAATATGATCTTAAAATAGATTTCTCTATGCAATGCAATTCCTTGGTGTGTTTTCTTAAAGGTTTTTTTCTTTTTTAGCAAAAATTTATAAATATAACTGAATCTAAGTTCCATAAAAGTCGTGAAATCTTTTAAATATAAGATCGATTCAGATATTTTATTCTTGTTTGTGAACTAATACTTAAATGCTCTTGAAACTTAAGAGAAAAAAACAAATAGCTGCTAAGAAGTAAGATTTCAGTAAGATATCAACACATATAGCTGCAGACTAAGCACTTAGGATTTCGATTTGCATTGCATTCCAAGTCCGAATTCAAAACCTGATTCCATTTTCAGAATCTTATATTTGTTAAATTATGCAAATGAGATTAACATCTAGATGGATGGTTCTTCGACTCACCTCATTTCCAACTGTGGTTATCTTGACCAGAACCTCATCTTTGGCGACATCATGATAGACCACATCGCCGCTCTGTTCGCGTCCATTGTAGGTGAGAAAGATGCGCTGGCCGGGCTGCAAGTGAATGCTCATAATGGATCGGAAGCCGGGTCCGATGAGATCCGATTCGCGGAACTCCTTGATCATGGCGTTACGTCGTAATGCCTGGGCCGGACTGATGTGCACGTTGGCGGCGGCAGCGGCGCGTCGCGTCTCCACAATAACCGATTCCGAGGATGAGGCCGAGAACGAGGAGGAGGACGAGGACGGGGACGAGGACGAGGACGAGGACACGGACGCGTTTGCAGACGCGGCTGGTAGCGATTGGGTCTTAAAATCGAAGCGTACCATATAGCGAGTGTCGGCATTCAGTTGGGCATCGCCTGGCGTCAAAATGGTGGGCGGCGGCATCGGATCGGGCGTGGCGGACATTGACGTGGGTGTCTTAACGTCCTGTATAACGCCCGAGTACCAGAGGCCGTCGGGGCCAGGTGCGCACACCTTGGTGCCAATGATTGAGCGTTTGGCCAAGCGGCGGCTGGTAGACATTTTGCTAAGCTTCACTCACGGGGTTTACTTTCTGGAAGAGTGGGAAGTTCGGGTGGGGGCCTACCAAGGGCTTAGCGGCTTTTTCTTTCTTTACAGTTTTTTGTCACACTTTTGTCTACGATTTTCCGTTTTATCTTTTGCTGTTTGTTTGGTATTCTTTTTTGTTTTTTGTTTTTTTTTTTTTTTTTTTTTTTTTTTTTTTTTGAGTTGAGTTTTTACTATGAATTTAGGAGTTGAACTTGGCTTGTTTGGCTAGCAGCAGCATTTTTAACACTTGACATTTTCTGCTTTTTATTCTCCTTCTACTGCTTCTTCTATAATCTTAACTTTTTTCTTTTCTTTTAATTTTTATTTTTAATAAATATTTTGCACACACTTTTTATTGCACTTTCGTTTCGTGTCGGGTTTGGAAAACAACTCCAACAACTTGTTGCACAGTGTTCTCGCCGTGGAGCTACCGTTTCTTGCGAAAAGTATCTTCAACTTAAGTCTGGGAAACGTTTTTGGTTAATTTGTAAACGTTGATCTTATTCAGCTCGATCAGTTCTTTGATAATGTTCTTGTGGTAGAGCTCGAGGGAGAGGGTGACACGCTGGTTGAGATGCTGATTGAACAGTTGGCGCTGGGCGGGCGTACTCCTATTTAGATGTGGATGCAGTGCATCTGCTGGGCCGGACCGTTTCACATGCTCGCTGTGCGTTGTCTTGGTGACGTTGTTGTTGTTGTTGTTGCGTTTGTGCCTAAGCATAATCCAATTTTAAGCGTTTGCAGCCTCAGCTTGACAGCGGTTGGCAAATCACAAGGGACAAACAGAAAATGGGGCAAACCGAGAATTTGTTGGAGTTGCTCTAGCGCGGATGTCACATAAATTTCGATCTGTTTACAGTTTTTCAAATCTCTTCACTTATCGATATGTTGTTATTTGCAATTGATGTTGTTGTTATTGTTGTTGTTGTTGTTGTTGTTGTTTTTAATGTGCACGGACTGATTGGCGTTTTATTAAGACACAAATATACCACTAGATATACATATATATTTATATTGAAATATATATATTTATTGCTCACTTTGCTTTCACGCTGCTTTCGCTGCCGGTCGTTTCACTTTTTCTTTTCTTTCTTCCAAGTTTATTTCTTTCTTCTCACACACACATATGCACACAGTGGCACTAGCACAAAACACGCACACAGAATACACTAACAAAGCGCGAGAGAGCAAAATGGATGCAATCTGCTGTCGCCGCTTCTGATGCTGCACTGTTTACTGTTGCTATTGTAGTTGTTGTAGCTGTTTGTTGTTGTGTTTGTTTGTGTTTGTTTTTGTATTTTTTATATATATTTTTTTTGTTATTGTTGGGCATTACCCAATATGTTTGATTGCATTCAATTAAGAAGCATTTACACTGTTTATCATTAGTTATTTTATTTTCGAATTTATTCGTATTGTTTTGATTTGTTCAGTTTTTTTGTTGTTGTTGATATTTTCTATTTTTTGGCGTCTACTTCGACGACGAGGGCGACTCGCAATAAGCGCTTATCGGTCTGTACACGAGAGTTGGCTATCAAAGACTGAGCGAGCGAGTAACGAGTTACAGTTACGCGCAGCGAGCAACACTCAAACACACACACACAGTCGCACACAGAGCTCTCTCTTTCTCTCTGTGTCCCTATCTGTCGGTTTCTCTGTTGCTGTTGCGATTTGGTTTGTTGTATATTATGCTTTCGTTCGTACCTGCTTGGAAAACTACATAAGTGCAGATATGTGTGTGTATGTGTGAGTATGAGTATGCGGTTGTGTGTGTGTGTGTGTCTGTGAGCGTAGTCTGTTTGAGTGTGTGCAAGTTTTTCCCCTGCTGACAGCATAATACGTAAAACACTTGAGGAACATGCTCTTGAAAGCGTCGAAAATGCATTCGCCACATACAGACACACACACACAAACCTACATAGGCCTCAATCGAGTTAACAGTTGTGGCTATCGAAAAATGTTAGCGTCTATACTAACTGTTAATTTGTTATTTCAATGTGTCAATGTGCAAGTGCAATAAGTCCCCACGCATACATGCACAGACACATATAGTTTATAGTTAATATACATATATTGTAAATATAACATTTAATATTGCCTTTCGCTTCCTTGTTGATCTGTTATTAGCGGCAATTGGTATCAGTAGGCAGTAACGAAGTCTACTTATCAATATGGCCAGCCAGCCAGTGCTAGCATCTGTATTTGTGAGTGCCTGTATATGTGTATCTATGACGCCATCGTCGGCTTGCCAGCATAACAGCAAATGTCGACGTCGTCGTTTGTAGCTGCTGCCAACCCCAACCCAAAAAAAACTACGCAGTTAACAAAAAGTTAAACACTTGTCAACATTTTTCACAACGTCAACAGAGCGCCGCATAACTCTGTATTTGTGTTCATATGGGTATGAGTGTAAGTATGTTTGCGAGTGTTCGCGCATCTGAGCGAGCGCGATATCAACAACAGACCGAATTTGGATAGAGAGGGAGAGTGAGAGACCAACTGTCAGAGAGCGCGCGCGAAACACTGTCAACACGATAACAGCTGTTGTCGAGAGAGCAGCAACAATGTTGCCAAAACAGCTGTTGAGCAACCAAACCATAACAGATGAGAGTATGCTTTTATCTTTGCTCGACTTACTCATACTCTAATAAAATATATAAGAACTACAATCATTGTCAGCTCCCGAGATTTAATGTTCGAATTAAACATAATTTATTATTAATCGTACAAGCATATAATAAATCATTTTTAATTTAGTGTATCTATCTTCGAAAACTCAAGTAGATCTGTAAAAATATAACAATTGTAGATACTGATTGAACTAAACTATTTTTGTACGCTACGTTCTGTAAATGTATTTGTATTTTAATCAAATTTTAATTAGTGTTGTTGAGTGTAGCTGCCATGTTAATAGTTTTGTTTTTACAGAGTATTGCTTTAATAATCGCCGGCCGGTTTTCTGTCAACGTCACAAGTTTAACAGTTGAAGAGAGTATTTCATTTGTGTGCATGTGTGTGTTTAGGTATGCGAGAGTGTATCTTGCTCTCTTTGCTTCTCAGCAACTCACAGCTGTTATTATGCGTTTGTTTACATCGGCAACAGCTCCATGTTGCTGCTGTTGTTGATGTTGCTAATGTTGTGATTGTTGTTGTTGCTTTGCTGCTGCTGATGTGAATATTGAACGCACATAAACACAGGCACACATTTATGTACGCATATGTGTATATACATATGTACATATGTATATAGATATATATATTTCGAATATTTTGGGGGCTCTCTTTTGCTGCCGATGTTTTATGCTGGCTGTATGTTGGGCTGTAGCTACAGCTATATTGGCATTGTTGTTGCCTTTGGAATGACCTCTGTAGGCATACCACAGCGACGCCGCCGCTGGCAACGTAGGCGGGGGCGTGGCCGAGGGCCGGGGCCGAGGCTGTCGTTTTCTGGGCGTACGCCGCCTCGATATCCATCAGCGCTACGGGAGCCAACTGAGTTACATACATACACACACACACATACACACAAAAATATGTATGTATGTGTTCATGTACAGGCGCATAGATTTATGTTGTTGTTGCGTTGATATTTTTGGGGTGGATTTGAAGGCAGAAGCATTTGTAAAACGCCATTTGCGATAGATGCCCAAAAATGCGCTGCGTAGTTAGCGCGGTGTGGGTCAAAGGCAGAGGCTGCAAAGTTGCTTAAAGCTTATCGAAAATCTTTACAATGTAGTGTTATACACTTGTTAAGGTATATTTTTATGTACATTTGTATATGCATATGTATGTATTTGTAATTTCAGATAAATATATTCATATTGGACAACCTGTAACCAGCAATGCCGCCCAACTGAAAAGATGCGCTATCTGGCACATTCAATTAATCATTTCTTGAGTGAAAATTCCGCAGTCGCAGCAATGGCAACAGCAACGGCAACAAGAGCAACAACAAAATGCGATTCAGCGGAGCGTTGCCAGCGCTGTCGTTGAGCATAACAACAAATACGCAGTTACGAAAGGAAAAAAAAAATCGGTTGCCGCAGCAGCAGCGCAGCAACTGCCGGTGCAATCTGTATGTTACAAAACCAAACGAAACGAAAAGAAACGCAAAAAGCAAAAGCAAAATCAAAACAAAGCGTTAGACTGAGTAAGACAACATCAAGCGCATATACATACACACACACAGACTCGCGCTCTGACATATTACCAAACTGGAAAATAGGTCAACCAGCTGAGAGGGCAAATCAACTGTCAGCTTGCTCGCTCTAATGCTCTCATAGAGTCAATGAGAGGCATGTATCTGTGTGTGTGTGTGTGTGTGCGTGCTGTGAGAGAGCAACGCTTAACATTGTAAGAGTACACAGTTGACAATTAGAACGGGAACTGCTGTTAGTTAACAGCGGCCTCAATTCCTCTGATTGGAGTGAGCTGTCGGTGGATGGATACTCGCTGGGTGGTTAACAAAGTTTATATATTTACGTAGAGACATATATGTATGTGTATTTATTTTATATGCTAAGCTGGTCCTACGAAGCAGTATCTCAGCTTGGACTAGGTAGTTCTCAACAGAACTTTGTCATTTTATTAACTAGTTATAATGTATCCTAAATGGGTTTTACTTAATTTTCGTGTTATTGCTGAGTTGTCTTCTAATTAGATGTCGTATACTTTCACTATAATCCGAACATTTTGAGCCGTTCCACTGGTTGGAAGTATTCCGCTAACAATATAACAATTCCATTGATGGAACATCTTATACGAGAGCAAAATCATAGATATCGCACTCTTCGTCTCGCACTCTTCTCTCTCTCAAAGAGCAAGAGAGATAGCAACAAGATGTATCCAGGAAGCCATCTTTACGCAGCCAAATGATCGCGCTATCCTTGTCTTGCATACTGGTTAATTGCTTGCATTCGTTTGCCCATTAAAATAGCAATGGCGCCTCGATCGAGATAATTGTTTACAGTTATTATTATATTTATATCGAAGTTCCTTTAATGATGCAGCGTTTATCGGCGTTTGATGTAAAGAAATTGTGATTTATGTATTTTAGTTTAGTGAATGTTTGATTGATATATGTTTATGTATATGTACATATATCTAAGTGTTTAACTTATGAATATGTTCTAAGCTAGCAGTTTGAACTAGGTGTAAGGGACTCCCCAAATACCAAGCAGAGCTACGTATATAAAGATATGGCTTTATAAAGTCAGCTTTGCTAACAAATTTACCTTTGTAAATCTTTCATGTGGCTTGCAATGAATGTAATTGAGCCTAATTGCTGAGCTGTCCAAGGCGCATGTCAAGTTGTTCATTGCGACCTGCCTATTTGTTTGTGTGCACGTTTGTTTATGTGTGCGTGTGTCTGTGGCATGAAAGTGTGTTCAGATGTCCATCAAAGCTGTCAGTGGTCAAAGCAGGACGCTGCGTTCAGCCGTCAGTTTGGTGGCATTGAATTTGGGATTAAAAACGGTTGCAAGCTGCGTGCTAGCTTATTAGATGTTTACCTGTATGTTGTTGCCATTGTCTGCAGCATTCGGAGTATGTGACGGGGAGGGCCTAGACGATAATCAAGTTAGCAAATGTTGCTGCGACTTGCTGTGATTGATGTGCACATACATGTCAGCGCCAGGAAGCATAAATTCTAGACAAAGATGAGCGCTGATATATGCTTGTGTCTGTATATGTTTGTGTCTGTGTGTGTGTGTGTGTACATGGAAGCCAAGTGCAATTCGTGTCGGATTGTGGCAAGAAAAAGACGTCCAGTTGCTAGTTTCAGATATAAAATTGATGTTATGTGCAGCATTTTGACAACCGGTTGGCCACGCTGCGATTCACCTGTGTGACACAACGCGCAGAGACTTGACATGGCTAACAAACTAATTTCACCGATCACCAAATGGCCGCTCCCTATGACACACACACCCATACCCATACATGAGCATTGTTGACATTTGGTCATATATTTTTCATAGAAAGAAGCAAAAAAAAAAAAAAAAAAAATAAAATAAAAAAATAAAAATAAAATAAAAGCCAAACAAACAATTTCCTTGTTCCGCACAAGACACTTGCATGTGTATGTGCGTGTGTGTATATATGTATATATATGTATGCCACAGTTTGTGTGCTCACAATGCAACAAACATTTTGGGGATTGACTTTGCGCTGAACTATCGGACATAATTCCCTGCCTTGGGGGCTGAGCTCTGAGCTGTTCTATGTTAACTATCTAATGCAACATTGCAACAGCAACAGCAACAGAAAACAGCAACAGCCACAGTACCAATAACAATAATAACAACAACACTGTGACCAAAATGGGTCATTTTGCAGCAGTATGAAACATGTTGACCCACATTCCATGCGCTCTGCATAAAAAATTATGTACATATGTGTGCATACGTGTGTGTGTGTGTGGGCATGTATCTCAGTAAATAGCGTGTGCATGTATATGCCTCCGAACAGCCCCTCAACAATAAAAAAAAAAAAGCAATAAAACTCTATAATTATTACAAATATTATTATTATTTATTATTTTCTTAAAATTGTAATTAATTATTTAAAAAAAAAATAGTAATTAATTTCGAACTCTATAAGTTCTACAATTAATATTATGTTACTATTAATATTTGTTTTATTTTGAAAATTTTAGTTCATCGATCTTTATTATAACCTGAACCCATTGAAAATGGGAAATCAGGGTATAATGGTTTTGTGAAAAAGTATTTAACGGGCAGAAGGAGTCATCGCAGACCCCATAAGTAGTGCGGAATAGATGACTTAGAAGAGCGCTTTCTTGGAGGTTAATACAGTGAAGTACAACAGTACAGCCTCCATATGTGGGAGGCAGTATCAGATACTCCATCTTTAGATACGTTCTTTAGTCTCGGATCAGAAAATTTATGCAGGGCTGCAGGGTCTCCACCACGGTAGGGCCTTCTAGTACTCGTAAAGCACCACATATCTTTATTCTCAATTCTCATTAAAGTATATAAGTATATGATTTTTATATTTCAATCTAATAACTCTATGTTAAGGGACCCCCACCATACCTGGTCTCCATGATTGATGTTATCTATCTCATTATCATTGATATTATTAACATATTATTATTTATATAATATACAATTTATCCTAATTAAAATTATCATTATTATTGCCATTATATATGAATGTATATTAATTAATAAATTAAAATGAAAAGTTTGGTATATAAATTTCTTTGTATTTTCTTACATTATTTATTTTATTTGCATTATTATTACAAATATTTTTATATTTATTCAAGTCAGTAACATTAACCGATAGATTATAATAGAGAATCTGCATTTATTTTCGAATCAAATTCATCTTCCCAATCTTATTGTTCTGCTTTTTTGTGCCATTTGAATTCCATTTCTATATAATCTCAACTCAATTGGCTGCCCCAGCATCAAGGACAAATTCGTTGTGCCAAGGGCAGGCGCGCTTTACTTGACCCACTTTTTGAGCTCTTCGCACATATCCGCGGTACATGTCAGGGCTGCTGCCCGAAACTGGGGCAACAGTCTTTTGTATTGCCCCTCAACCCAGGAGAGTGGGCATTTCAATAAGCTCTGGCAGCTTTTGCTGTTCACTGCTTTCTGCGCGTGCTTGAAAGCTCTTCGTCCGGCATTAGGGTGGCTCAACGCAGCATGTAACTGAATGCTAGTCGAGCCCAAAAGTATGCTACGCTCGTGCCTATGAGCTGCAATTTTATTAATTTTATTAATAAAACTTGAATTTTATTTTATTTTATTTTTTAAGAATTCATTTATTGTGGCTTTTATTTTAGACTCTATAGCGCAGTCATCGTTAAACCTTAACCTATGTTATGGGCTAGAAGCCAGTATTTACACTATTTACACAATTTACAATTATTTACAATGTTCATGGAGCTCTGTGGTCTAATTGCAGTTTTTCTTTATATATTGATAACTACTCCCCATATTTTATTATTGATCAAAAAGCTTATCGAAAGCTAGTTATTTAATTATATCTCCTACACCTTTAGAGCTAGAGCTTGCAAATTTGAAATGTAGACTTATATGTATTTTATATAATTTCGATTTTTGTTGTAATTTACCCCCACCCCTATATCCACCCCCTCACCTTCACCTTTGTAAAAGCCGTATTTCAAGTACTAGAGACGTGTGCTTTGGAATATACATACATTTTCACATTATGATTACGCCCTGAATAATTCAACAAATAAATTCTTATAATGTTGCCCACACTACAGCGCAGCCCAAGCGCAGTCGCTGCTTACTGCGCAGTTAGCAGAGCGCGTTCTAATACGTGCGTGTGTATGTATGTGTGTCGAAAAGAAGTGCAGACTGATTAGAATATCAGATTAGAGGGTTCAGGGTATCTTCTAGTCGAGCAGTCTCGACTAGAGTCTTCTTGTTTTATTTTGTTTCTGGCACTGTTTACTGCCTGCGTGATGTGCGCACTATAGGTCCGTTTTTTGCCGAGTGTAACACCAAGATACTTTACTTTGTTAAGTTTAGGTATTTGCACTCCCAGAGTTGCACAAGGCAGTCTCCTCTTTGCGTTGAAAAGCTTACGTGGGCTGACTTCTGCGCATTTTTGCTAACGTTTGGCCAATTTTAGAGCTCCAATGAACAGTATTATAAAACTTTATCAGTATTATAAAATTAATCAGCTATTCGACTTCGAGTATATGGCTTATGCCTATCGCTTGATTCAATAAACGATTTTACCACATTTTAGACTCATTCACAAAAGTGAAATGAGTATATTGGTTTTGTGCAATGCCCGTCTTGCTGTCCGTCCGTCTGTCCGTCTGTCCGTATGAACGCAATCTATTTCGGCGCTATTGAAGCTAGAGACTTGAAATTTGGAACACATACTCGTGTATATCTCCGATTTATAAAGTGTTAGAATTTTCCCGATCTACCCCCTAGGGGCGTGGCAAATCGGAAAATGCATTTTCCAATATACCAGAAATCATGTTTGTTGAAGAGCTAGAAAGCTTAAATTAGGTATGTAGGTCCGCGCCGACCACCTAAGATCACAAACTATGGCGGATATATCTCCGCCCATTAGGGGCGTAGCAAATCGGATAAAACTGTATCTCCTAAAGTTATAAACCTAGAATGCTGAAATTTTGCACGTAAGCTGATGTTTTAATTCTATGAATATGGGTGAAAAAATTATATATCTACTAGTTTATATCTCCTAGAGCTTAAGAGCTAGAAGCTTCAAATTGGATAGTTAAGTTACTGGTAGCCTCCTCTATCGATGCCCCAAAAATAATTTTTAAGCCTCTTTAGGGGCGTGGCATATCGAAAATTACCCTGTAATTTTGCTGTAATTGCCTGTAAATTTTGCATTTAGGTTACCGGTTGTTTGTTCTAAGAACAGGGTAAAAATCAGGAGTCTACGGCCATTTAATATTTAAGAAGAAACAAATTTAAACTATTATTAATAAAATTATTCGACTAAGAAAATGAAAAGTATTAAGTGCCATTCAGTCAAGCTCGCACCTTCCCAATAAAATATCTATTTTATAAAAAACGAAATATGTATGAACAAAAAAAAAAAATTAAATAACATAGTAGAGGTTAGAACCTCCCCTACTCTAACATTGCTTGCGTCGCTTTTAGCACCCGCACCACTGCTCTGCTTGACCAGCTAGTTGCTAAAATAGAATAGCTTAATAAGAGAGCGTCATCAGACAAAACTACAGTAACGGCTAGAAAGTCCAGAAATGAATCGAAATTCTAAGAATGTGAGAAAAGGCGCGCTTCTGTCTGTACGCATAGGATAGACGATGAGTGTGTGCACATGCATAGGAAAATCGCGCTGATCTGCTGTTAGCTTGAAGCCGGTATCCAATATATGGATATAAATATATATCAAAATTTTATAAATTATATATGTATGTAATTTGAATGCAAAAGCTATCGATGATTTTCCAATTTTAATGTTTTTTGTTGCGCACTAGACTTGAAAATTGCACTATATACTATGGTTGATAGCGTTTGGGCTGTGAATGAGTCTTCTGCAATCGGTATCGCCCGACTGCAACGTTCTTACTTGCAATAGCGCCGAAATAGATTGCGTTCATACGGACAGACGGACAGACGGACGGACAGCAAGACGGACATTGCACAAAACCAATATACTGATTCACTTTTGTGAATGAGTATAAAAAGCGCGAGTGAAAACCCGTTATGTTTTATTTTCTATTCTTCTTTATTTTCGCAAAGAATGCGTGCACTTATTTTGCGTCATCAGATTAGCTCCCCCAAATGTTTTATCTTTGGTTGAAAATCAAAGATTGAGGCATACTTTAAATCTGGACTATGCTACCATAAAATTGCTGAAAAAAAAAAACAGGAAACTAATTGGGAAAACTATGGAAAAAAACTATATAAGCGACAATAATCAAGTGATTTCAGAAGGAAATAGAAGAGCATTAGTTCGAGAAGCTTCGAATTCCCACGAATCGACCACCAAGATTAGGGTTAAAATCAGTGTTAAGACGAGCTTATCAACGGTCCAAAGAGCAATTAAGAAAGTTAATTACTTAAAGAAACAGAATGTAAAAAAAAAGACACCAGTCGATAGGCTGAGAAAAGAAATACGCATTAATTTTGGCCGGGCAAACATGACGTGGTCTATCCAATGGCAGCATGTTGTCTTTTCTGATGAGAAAAATTGAATTTGGAAGGAACTGATGGCTATAATTATTATATCCATGACCTACTCATAGAAGCTCATTATTTGGAACGGTTTCCAAGCCGCTGCGGCGGGGGGTGGTGTGGCATTGGTGTAGGTATCACTTGCAAGCTTCAATTTTTGACATCGCGCATGAACGCATTGGACTATAACATCGTGTTTAAAACTGCTGTTCCGCATTTCTATAACCTGTCTGAAAAGCGGCATTAGATTTTCCAGCATGATAATGCTCCAATTCAGACCGCCCGATCCCTGAAGTCCTGGATTCAGGGCCAAAAAATTGATCTCATTTTTTCCATTTCCTTGAATAATATTGAACCACTTTATAATTCCATTCCTATTCGAATTTTTGAAGTAATTTCAAACAAAAAACGGCACTACGCACTGCTAATATTACTTAAAAATAATAATAGCATAAAATACCGGTGTTATTTTTGGTCATTAACTTAAATAAATTGAATTTAAAGATGAAGCTTTGATGGTTTTAGGTTTTACTCAGCTTTGAGATTGAGTGTAAGGGGGGAGCGCTAACCTGATGACCCGTATATACTTTACTATTACTATCACAATTACTATCAACATTATAACAGTTAGCACAAGCCAGAATTCGCTGAATTTATCCGTATTATCCGGTAGGGAGCAGTTTGCCACACAGTATGTGTAGTATGATATTGGTTTACTTTCATCATTGCTGCACATTATTGTCTGATTATGATTCTGTAAAGAAAGTAGAAATAAAACAAATTAGGTAATGTAGATAAGATTTAAATAATATTTATTTACATTTGCAATGTACAGGATCTGCTTTGAGCAATGTTCGCAATCACAGATGATTGGGTTGTCGTGTACGGTGATTTTGATATTTGGATACTTCTCTATTAACTCAAGTGCATTAGGCAATCGATTGTGGTCCAGGTTGATTTTCCTTAGGCTGGGAAAGTGTCTGACCCAGTCATCTGGCAGTTCAGTTATTTCATTATATGAAAGGTCTATGTATGTCAAGTTGCTGAAATCGTCCTGCAACATTGCACTCGGTGGGGAGCCATATTTCTTTTTTTGTAGTTTTAAGATGTTCAGCTTCAATTCCGATAGACATTTAAAATCATTACTGGTCTGATTGGAACAATCGCAGGTATTTTCACTTTCCCACTCTTCAGCGTACATCAAGCAGCCGCAAGTTATATTAGAGTCGGCTTTACAGACCGAAAATCCTATGATTATAACTAATATATAGTAGATGTCCATAGTAACAACTGATTACAAAATAAAAGAAATTTGTAAAACGATTATTGGGATAGTGAAATAATATTCAACTTATTAATTAATTATTACTAACAGCTCATAATGAAAGCAAGTAGGATATATAATTTTTCGCGTCTTTCTGCTTACACAAGAAACACGCGCACACACACACGCACACATACTCATACAGTATATGCCATACACACACAAACATACACAGACACATACACACACAAGCACCCACGCATAAACACGCATGGGCTGCAGTGTGCGCTTACTATGAGAACTTAATTGTTGAATAACTTTCAGATAACTTTCAGATTATGAATATAATATGAATATGCATATATTTGCCAAAGCACAAGTCTCTAGTATTTGAAATACGCTTTTTACAAAAATGGTGGTGAAGGGGTGGATATAGAGGTGGGGGTAAATTTTAACAAAACCCGAAATTGCATAAATTGCATATAAGCTTACATAAAAAATTTGGAGACTAGCAATAAAGGTGTAGCAGATATAATTTTAGAACTGGTTTTCGATAAGGTTTTTTAGCGATAAAAAAGATCGGGATGAGTTATCGATATTTAATGATAAACTCGATATCCGCGCTGTAAATACGGACATTTGAAATTTGAAGTCTCTAGTTCTTATATCTTCTGAAATCGACGCGTTCATAAATACGGACAGACGGACAGACAGACGGACAGGGCCAAATCGAATCAGCTCGTCACCCTGATCAAAAATATATATATTTTGTGGGGTCTGCCACGCCTCCTTCTGCCTGTTACATACATTTCAACAAAGCCATTATATATACAGTAGAATCCGAATATAGCGACACTCAAGGGACCGTAGATTTTACGTCGCTACACCCGGAGGACGCTTTAACCAGAAAGAGTACAAAATATTTTTTTTTCATTTTTTTTTACGGTTGCCATGTTTGTAATATCAAAACAACCATTTTTTATAAACTTATTTCAATAACATGGTTTAGAAACATTTTTGTGACGTCGGCATTGTACTTTGTCTCTCTCCCTCTCATGTCTTAGCAGCATTTTTGGCGTTGTTGTCATTATTTCGGGTTTTTTTTTTATCACGTCGTAATAACCGGTGATTGACTCAAAAATATGAAAAAAAAATCGTCGGCATAAGCGGATTGTCGTTAAAAGCGGAGACGTACTAAGCGGAGGCTCTTTCATATAAGTTTGTATGGGGACCAACCAAGACAACGAATTTTCGTCGACATAACCGGACGCTTTAAGCGGAGTCATTATAGCCGTATTTATATTATATTTATATTTTATTTCCATATCTTATCTTATATATAAGTTAAGCGCTCCCATACTAGAGTACTAGTGATTGGGGGACGCTGTGTTGGGTTCTTGTGAATATATAACAACTTTGTGTTCAATAAACTCTCTCTAGTCCGAATATAAACTGAACTGAATCTGTTCAACTGGTTAGGTTCTCCCCTTGAATGTCTGACTGGACTCTCTAGCCTCCTTAGATTGTCGAAAGTCTTAACTTATATATAAAAGAGAGTTGTGTAAAAGTGCTCCTCCACTTATAACTCGAGATCTGCTGGACCAATTTTCATGGTTTTTGATTTGTTGGATTTGTCTCCGCTACGAGTAGGATAGTAGATCTTAAAAATACTGAAAAAATTTGACGAATACTTGAAAAACGCGGTTTTTTCCCTAAAGATTCAAATTTCCATTGATACTCAGTAGGCTTGATAACAGTGACAGTTTTCGATCCTGCTCTCATATGATACAATAGTATAGAAGTAAATAAACAAATGTAGTCAGTCAGTCTACGGCACAGCCTCAGGCGAACCTGACTATTCATAAAAAAAGCACATTTGATAAAAATAATACGCGTGCGTACAGAAGCTAAATATCTCGAAAGTTCAGGTATTTGTTTGTCTCAAACATAAATTTGTGTAAATTATTTATATTTATATTTATATTTCTCGATTGTTTTATATGGTTTTGTGCGAGGGCAGTATTACTATTAATAAAAATGCCGCGTCCTAGAAGATCTAATCTTTCCCCGCGGAATATGTCGGTCGGAATATCGCAAGTCAATTATCTGACGAAGAACGAGAAATCGCCCGAGAAAGGCAGCCTGAACAATAATCTGAAGTATATGGATATAATATGATGATATATATGATTCAATCTCGTTTAACAACTTAGTGGCAATTCTGCCGGTGAGTGAACCACTTGCATGTGATAATATTGTGCTTGACGGTGATTACGAAGTAGCGAGCATACAGAACGTAAGAACCAGAAACACGTTATCGCAAATCTATAACAATTCAACTATTTTTGGATTATCTAACATTCAAGTACAAGTACAAGTAAGAGATACCTTAAGAGATACCCTAAAACCTACAAAGAGCTTCTTTTATACAAACATGGAAAAACACATGCACACTAGAGGTGCCAAACAATCGATGGCACGACTGAACTATCGATGGTTCTATGTCTCGATAGTGGACGATAATATCGTCAAAGGTGCGTGTCAAATAATTATAATTTTTCTTAATCTTATATCATAGCTTGCAAATGATGGCTGATCGTTTTTTCGAATATGCTCTGCTTCATAACATAACCGAAAAGATTGTGCAGACACAATCTCTTTGCTTTGTTTTGAATCGGTTTAGGTTAAGCGCTTCGCATTGACTGATTAGTGTGACGATCTCAAATGAGTGTCGCGTAAAGAGTAATACGATTTTCGCTTACACAAAGACTCAGCAAAAGACAGTTTGACTAAAAAACTCAACAAAAATGATCTTCGTGTGCATGCAAATACATACATACATGCAATAGAGGACAAAATTATTTTGACAACGCATTGCAAAAACTCTAACCTCTTATTTCTTATTTCAATTCACTTAACTCAAGCAAACGATCAGTGCTTGACTTGAGCGAATCGAAAGCTGAAATAACTGTCTCGCTCAGTTTCTGTCAGAATCTTTCTTATTGTGTGAGTGAAAGACGCTTATTTGCAGACAACAAAAATCGATCACTACAATAAAAACCATAACTTATTAGTTTTTAGATTTTAGCTGTTATGTCAATTCAGCTTTTATCTTAAAATGTAATTTCAGAAAATTGAAGTGCTCAAATTTTTAAGGCTAAGAATCACTGTTTTTTTTTTTGCGACTATCGACCACAATCGATGGTTTGGAAATTACTATCGTCCACAATCGATGGGGTCCACCATCGATAGTTTGGCACCTCTAATGCACACATACATACACGTACGTATAAGCACACACTCTGCTAAGTCAATATTATAAAAATTTATTTGTCGAATAATTTCTGTTGTAGGGGAATTATCTTAATGTAACTTTCATAATTGGATCATAATATTCTAATGTGTGTACTTACTGTTGGATGGAAATATAGAAATAAAATGCCGCGCTTGTGTGCTTTCGTAGCAAAGGTTTATTTGTGACTAACTTACTTAGAGGTGGTACCTATCAGCTAGATATGGTACACACGTTTATCGATATATCGTGTCGCATTGTAACAGATGATATTCATTAACACTTACCAAAGCACGTATTTTATTGAATTGAAGGCAAAAGGGGCGAGGTATCCAAAATCTGTAAATCACAAAATCTTCGTATAAAAATAAATCTGAAGTCTTAAAGTGTTCAAATTTAGCTGGAAAAACAAAATCAATTTTTCGATTATTCTTGATAAAAAATTTATCGGATGAGTTACCGAAAAAATATGATAAACTTGTACTGCGTATGGTACACACGAGTATGCATGCCAAATTTTAACTCTCTAGCTCTTGTAACTTCTGAGATCGACGCACTCATACGGACGGACAGGGCTATATCGACTCGTTTCGTCGAGCTGATCAAGAATATATATGGGGTCTGCAACGCCTCCTTCTGCCCGTTACATACTTTTTCACAAAACCATTATACCCTAATTTCCCATTTTCAATGGGTTCAGAGTCCTAGGTCCGTGTATATCACGCGCATATCAACTTTTTCTTTATATATCGATAACTACTCCCGATATTTTATTATCGATTAAAAACCTTATCGAAAGCTAGTTATTTAATTATATCTCCTACACCTTTAGAGCTAGAGCTTCCAAATTTTAAATGTAGACTTATATGTATTTTATATAATTTCGGTTTTTATAAAAATTTACCCCCCACCCTTATATCCACCCCCTTACCTTCACCTTTGTAAAAGGCGTATTTCAAGTACTAGAGACGTGTGCTTTGGAATGTACATACATTTTTACCATATGATTACGCTCTTAAAGTTTCATTAAGATTGTACGTCTAGAAATTAAATTTCTCAACAAATAAATTCTTATAATGTTGCACACGCTGCAGCGCAGCCCTAGCGCAGTCGCTGCTTACTGCGCAGTTAGCAAAGCGCATTCTAATACGTGTGTGTGTATGTATGTGTGCCGAAAAGAAGAGCAGAGTGGTTAGAATATCAGCTTAGAGGGTTCAGGGTATCTCCTAGTCGAGCAGTCTCGACTAGAGTCTTCTTACTTGTTACTATTAGAGTGGCCGATGACAGTCGTTCGCACGCGACATTATTTAGTAAAATAAAAACGGGGTATAAAGCGGTAAGGTACTTGCAAGTTAATTTTAACAATATAATTAAAATACTAACGTAACCCACTTTTCATTTAGGTTTTGGTGTTGGCACTGCTGGGGAAATGGAAACGTTTTTAAATGGCAAGGACAATGGCGAGGGTAAATATTATTCTACTGCTTAAGACAGCCACACACGTGGGCTGCAGCTTTTGAGTTTTAATCTAATGTAACAAACACGCTTTTGTTTGTAGATTGCGACGCGGATAAAAATAACGGAGAGGATGAGATACCACGCAAGAGGACCAAATATGGTATCTCTGGGGTGTGGTATTATTTTAAGAAGTGTGCGGATGGCAAGTCTGCCAAATGTACAAAATGTGGCCAAATATTCCAAACAAGTGGTAATACCACAAATTTGTCTGCTCACTTAAAACGGAAACATCGCAATTTGAGCCCCACTGAAGAGCCGAAGGCTGCAGGCCCTATCCTAACACTTCTTCAAACAAAATATGATGCCTCATCAGCCAGGAAAAAATTACTGGACAGTGCGCTTACATCGTATATTACATCAGATCTTCGCCCATACTGATTCGGCATTTCGTTGAAATTCCTGATCCACGCTACCAGCTGCGAAGAACATTGCGCGATGTCTACATTCCAAAGCTGTTCATGGAAATGAAACAGAAATTGCACGAAATTCTTGATCAGATTGAGTTCTGCGCTGTTACTACTGATGGGTGGACCTCAAGAGCGAATGAAAGCTATTTTTTAGAACAGTACCTTTGCTTAAGCAAAATTCAGAGACGCTCAAAATAAGGATAACCCACTCAGCTTAAAACAAGAATGCCCAACAAGATGGAACAGTGTCTATCACATGGTGCAAAGATTTTTAGAAACCACAGATGCCACTTGTAAGGTGTTACTCAACACTCTAAAGGCATTATTGCCCTTATCTGCTGATGAAATTGCCATTCTGGAAAACCTGGAAAAGGTTTTGTCTCCTTTTGAACACACGACTGTGGTCACCGTGTCGGTGGTCATTCCTGTATGCTGTGGCCTTCTTCATAGTCTTGAAAATCTCAAAGGCAAGCTAGCTACTGAGGAGGGTCAGCTTGCTGTTGCGAGTTTAATAAACGGAATAAAAGACAGACTACTTAAGTACGAGTCGCGCTCGAATACGAGAATGGCAACAGTCCTGGACCCCCGTTTTAAGAGGGATGGATTTTTACCCCCGTTTAACGTAAGCGAAGCGGAGAAATTTTTAGAGAACGAACTCATTATGGTCAAAGCATTGTCTGAGCTTCGTCCATCTTCCTCCAACCTGCCAGCACCAAAACCAACAGACCAACACCACCCACTTTTCGACTTTCTTCAAAAGAAAAAATCTGAAAAAATTCGAAAAAGTCGAGTTGACTCAATACTAGGACTGAAGCAATATTTCAACATGGACAATCTCCATTGGACTACTGGAAGGTAAAAATACATAACATAAGAGTAAAATATTTTTAATTAAAGCAATTTCTTCACAGATCTCAACTGACAACGCATTTAAAAGATGCGTGAAAAAGTTCTTGTCTGTCCCAACAACATCCACAGAGAGTGAACGAATGTTCAGCAAAGCTGGACATATCGCAAACCAAACAAGTAAGAAGGCTCTAGTCGAGACTGCTCGACTAGGAGATACCCTGAACCCTCTAAGCTGATATTCTAATCATTCTGCACTTCTTTTATGCACACATACATACGCATGCATCCACACGCACGCATAAGCCTGCGCTCTGCTAACTGCGCAGTAAGCAGCGACTGCGCTTGGGCTGCTCTGCAGTGTGGGCAATATTATGAGAATTTACTTGTTGAATAATTTCTTTCGTAGACATACAATCTTAATGAAACTTTCAGAGCGTAATTATATGGCTAAAATGTGTGTACATTCCAAAGCACAAGTCTCTAGTACTTAAAACAAATTGGGGGCGAAGGGGGCGTGGTATCCAAAATTTGTAAATTACAAAATCTTTGTATCTATTAACTCTATATACAACACAATTTTGAAGTCTACAGGTCTAAAAATGTTCAAATTAGGCTGAAAAAACCAAGTCGATTTTTCGACTATTCTCGATAATAAAGTTATCGGATGAGTAATCGAAAAAATATGATAAACTTGTACTGCATGCATGCCAAATTTAAGCTCTCTACCTCTTATATCTTCTGAGATTCTTTTGCCCATACGGACGGACGGACGGACAGACGGACAGGGCTATATCGACTCAGCTCGTTGTCCTGATCAAGAATATATATACTTTATGGGGTCTGTGATGATTCCTTCTGCCTGTTACATACTTTTCACAAAACCATTATACACTGATTTCCCATTTTCAATGGGTTCAGGGTATACAAATGATTGGATACAAGTTATTATGTCCGTCCGTCCGTCTGTCTGTCCTTCCGTCTGTCCGTATGTATGAACGCGTCGATTTCAGTGGATATAAGAGCTAGAGACTTCAATTTTTTTAATTGTCCGTATTTACAGCGCGAATATCGAGTTTATAACTAAAAATCGATAAATCAGCCCGAACTTTTTTTCCCGATAAAAAAGCTAATCGAAAATCAGTTATAAAATTATATCTCCTACATCTTTGGAGCTACAGTCTCCAAATTTTGAATGTATATTTATATTTTACACAATTTCGGCTTTTGTTTAAATTTACCCTCCACCCCTTAATCAACCCCCTCACCATCACCTTTGTAAAAGGCGTATTTCAAATACATATATTATATTATAATTATATTATTGTTATAATTACGATCTGAAAGTTTCATGAAGATCGTATGTAAAGTTATTCAACAATTAAGTTCTCATAGTAAGCGCACACTGCAGCCCATGCGTGTTTATGCGTGGGTGCTTGTGTGTGTATGTGTTTGTGTGTGTGCGTGTGTGCGTGTTTCTTGTGTAAGCAGAAATACGCAAAAAATGATTGAAATAGCTATTGCTCGAAGGGTTCAGGGGATCTCGTAGTCAAGCAGTCTCGACTAGAGCTTTCTTACTTGTTACTTGTTATTTTTGATTCTTAAAACACATATGTACATACATACATTGAAAATTATACCTTTAAAGGTTTAGCAATGTTTGACGGCAATTTTTTCGGTGACTCAACAAGCTTAGTATACAATGTTGTATACTATACATTGATTAATTAGTCAGTGCAGAGTAGACGTCTGCATGATTACATTCATAACAAAGCCACATTGAGTACATTCGAAATGAGTGGAATATGATTGAGTGAAAAGGACAGAATGAGACGAGTGTGTATACTACTTTTTCGCAGGACGAACATGTTGTGTCTCATGCCGAATGACTGAGTATAACGAAAGAAGAGCAAAGTGAAATGAAAACTTCGAAAACACTCGAACTACTCAAGTAGTTCGATGAATATTTTGTGTATTCATTTTGTGCTTTGAGAAATTGTGAGCAGACGAAATGGAAGCGGAACCTGCAGGAAAAAATATATGTATTTTTCGGCAAATACCAGCGTGTTGTTTTTGTGTTTTGTTTTGTTTAAAGCTTGTGTTTTAGCTTTACTAACAAAATGTGTAGTTGTGACCGTCTATATATGTTTTCTGTGTTGATATTTGCAGATTTAATATTTATTTAATTTAATTAATTAATTATTTAATTATAGAAAAGCAATGTTCAATAGCTTCCAACCCTGATAGAATTAATAAAATTATGTTTTTAAATTCGAATATTATTAATTAAATATTTGAAATAAATATATAAGTTAAAAATTCCACAACAAAAAATACATTGCACACATATTTCTTTATTTTTTCCTCTTTCTTTTAACAGATACACACAGCAGAAAACAGCTGACAATATTCGAATGTATTCAATATACAACATTTAATAGCTTCTGCTGCTCACTCACTCACTTCGTTTCTTTTCGGCTATATTTTTGTGCTGCCGAGAGAAACACGACTTCAGTCGCTCACTCATTCTCATTTCGTTTTGTACAAGTTTGAATGTGCTGTACAGTTGAATGTGTTTTTTTTTGCCATTCATGCAGACGTCTAGTGCAGAGTACTTCAGCAGACTTATATCAATGAAATAATACTTACCTTTACACTTTTTCAGAAAACGTTTATTTTATCTTTTACTTTTTACTGATAGGCAAAAAACATCAGCTTTGTTCACCGCTTTTTGTTTCAATTATTTAGTTTTTTAGAGACATGCAATGGCAATGTTGCACAGAATATCGATATCGATGCCTATCAGTGTTGCCGAATCAGATTTTTTCTCCTCAAATGTGGGTCTATTTTCAAGGAAAGAACCAATCGATAATAGCGTGGATCTAAATGAACTATTTAATTCAATTGATCTTATTTTGAGCAATATTATTAAACTTTGTGAATTTTTGTAAACAAAGCATAGTCGAACTCGCAAATAGAAAGAATTTTTAGTCAGGGTGAATATTGATATGCTTAACTCAAGTGGCAAGAAACGACTATAAGACGCTATTTAAATATGATGGGCAATATGGAAGCATACGATAAAAATAATAATTTTCATAAATTGGACAAAATACTGAGCTATTTGTAAAGTAAAACATGATTTTTTGTTCGCTTTTTGTCTCAATATTTCGGCTTTTTTTTTAGTATCTTCTTACTAAAAAAAACTATTTTTACTTAACAAAAGTTGGCAGCACTTCTTTCAACTAAAACAAGCTTTTTTTACTCAACAAAAGTTGGCAGCCCTGATACCTACATATATAAGTATTAAATAAATAAAATTTCACCCGATTTAACAAACATTTGCCAATAACAACAAATATAAATCCGATATATTGTGTTGCAAGGTAACGTAACGATGTTCGTTACTTCTGTTTCCATATTTTCATGAGTACGATCACTAACATGGCTAGACATGTAGTACTCAATTTTATAATTTATATTTATTTTTATACTCATTCACGAAAGTGAATCAGTATATTGGTTTTGTGCAATGTCCGTCTTGCTGTCCGTCCGTCTGTCCGTCTGTCCGTCCGTCCGTCTGTCCGTCTGTCCGTATGAACGCAATCTATTTCGGCGCTATTGAAGCTAGAGACTTTCCCGATCCGCCCACTAGGGGCGTGGCAAATCGGAAAATGCATTTTCTGATATACCAGAAATCATGTTAGTTAAAGAGCTAGAAAGCTGAAATTTGGTATGTAAGTCCGCATCGAACACCTAAGATCACGAGCTATGGCGGATATATCTCCGCCCATGGGGGGCGTGGCAAATCGGATAACACTGTATCTCCTAAAGTTGTAAACCTAGAATGCTGAAATTTTGCACGTCAGCTAATGTTATGATTCTATAAAGTCTAGAGAACAAATTATAAGTCTACGCCCATTAGGGGCGTGGCAAATCAGACCTGAAGATATAGTGATTTTTTATATTCTGCTATATTTTGGACACTATTGATGCCAGAGACCTCAAATTTTGTATATATACTCGGTCTGATCAGCCAAGACCAAAAAGCTTTGTCGGATATATGTCCGCCCACAGGGGGCGTGGCAAACCGCAAAAGTTTATATCTCCTAAAGTATAATAGCTAGAAGCTTTAAATTTGAATAGTTGAGTTACTGGTAGCCTCCTCTATCGTGGCATATCGAAAAATACCCTGTAATTTTCACTTTATTTGAGGGTAAGCATTCAAACTTTGCAGTTAGGGTACCGTTATCTCGTTCTAAAAACTGATCAAAAATGAGGTGTCTACACCCAGTTGGGGCGTGGCAAATCGCCCGACTGCAACGTTCTTACTTGTTTAATTTATGTACTGCCTATGGTATACACGAGTATGCAAGCCAAATTTCACCTCTCTAGCTCTTATATCTTCTGAGATCCTTTTGCTCGTATGCTTGTATCTGTATCTGTATCTGTATCTGTATCTGTATCTGTATCTGTATCTGTATCTGTATCTGTATCTGTATCTGTATCTGTATCTGTATCTGTATCTGTATCTGTATCTGTATCTGTATCTGTATCTGTATCTGTATCTGTATCTGTATCTGTATCTGTATCTGTATCTGTATCTGTATCTGTATCTGTATCTGTATCTGTATCTGTATCTGTATCTGTATCTGTATCTGTATCTGTATCTGTATCTGTATCTGTATCTGTATCTGTATCTGTATCTGTATCTGTATCTGTATCTGTATCTGTATCTGTTTCAGACCACCTATGTATTTATCCTCCGGAACATTAGATATCAGCAAATTATACAAGTATATTTAAAGCTGCACTAACCGTTTTGCAGTGTGGCTTTAACACACCATAGACTCTCAGCAAGCAGTGCATGGTTGTGGTCTCCGCTATAAAGCAAGTATATTTGCACTACTTGCTTTATAGTGTGAGTGATTTGGTGGAATATGCAATTGATTTTCAATCACTAAATAGCTAAAACTGTTTAGTTTGTAAGTATCTTTGTTCAAACGTGAACATGTCATATGCGTTATCCGACACAAAGTAATAAATATGTTATCCCTTAGCGACCAGCGACCAATGCAGCGACTAATATATGGAAATGTAACGTGAGCCCGGGCCCAGCGATCTAAAAAAGCGACACTTGAATAAACATCTGTGCACTTGTTTGTATGGGAAAATGCACTCTTCCAGTGACTGGAAGTAGTTTTAAGAGTCTCTGTTAGGTATATAAGAGCTTGGATTTTAAGCAATAAAGAGTTAGTTTTCAATCTTGAATTCGGCAAATGTGGAGTTTTTTTTATTTAACGCTCTAACAATCTTAGTTGGGCAGTAATGCAAAATTGAGTAGTAATCTAGTATAAAATATATATATTTATATATATGCATATATATTTTTTTTAAATTTATAAACATATGTAGCAAGCAGTGCTCGATGGTACCAACTGGCAGCCAACCAACGAATCATTATTTTTGCCAACGAGTATTTCCCACATTCTCAATGGTTGCGCGAAGTGCGCATATGCGAATCTTTTGGATGCTCTCAATGCGATGAAGAGTCGCATTGGTGACGTTAGCGTCGACGTCTGCAGCGCTGCTCAAGTCGGCTACGCGTAGCTGACGCCACCCACAAACACACGCACACACACTCTCACATTTAAACACCTACACATGTGTTGTGAGGCGGCGAGTCCTGTGGCGGAGTCGGGTCGTCGCCTCAGTTTTGGACAAACACTCCGAGAGGCACGTCAGGGCCTAGCGTTCGCGCTTCTCGTCTCGATTCCGTGTGCGTTGTGCTGTGTGATGTGTGATGTGTGTGTGCCAGTGTGAGCTTGCCTATGAAAATCCAGAAAAGGCAACAAATTCTTCTTCGCTGGCAAATGCTGTAATCGGCGTTAAATTGCCTACAATAATCAAAATACAAAAATAAATAATATACATTCAAAATACAGTAACAAATAAAACCAACAACAACAACAGCAAATTCGTTAAGCAGCAAAGATGTGCGGAGCAGCGCCATTTCGGCTGTCAAAAGTTAGTTAGATACTTGGTTGAGTCGTTATTCCTGTTTTTTATATTTACTTTTATTTTATTTTGGTTTGCCCATTGCCCTACAGCTAGTTTCTGCTTGTCAGGACCAAGGCGTGGCGTGGGCTGCCAGCAAGCGAATTTACCTATTTCGTAGTATAAAATTGATTCAGATTCAGGTCGAAAGACAACAGCGCAGACAGATTGGTTTTTTTGCTACCACAATTGTCTGCCTCTCAGATCTAGTATATTTTGTTGGGATCTAGAGCTTAACTGGCTGTTGGACTAGACCCTTTGACCATTTGGCAGTTGTGGTCTGTCACGATATTACTCATACGCCGTATATCCAGTTTTAATTTTCACATAAACGAAAGTAACGCACGATGCAAGGCATATACATGAATGAAATCATCCAAAATACATAGAAGCACACACACACACATACATACACACATACATACACATTTGGAAACACGTGCATGCCGTGTCTGCCTGTGTGTGTGGGTGTGTGTATTCTTAAATTGTGAAATGCGTCCAGCTAACACAAACGGTGCCTGTGTGTGTGTTTGTGTGTGTGTGTGTGTGTGTGTGTGTGTGTGTGTGTGTGTGTGTGTGTGTGTGTGTGTGTGTGTGTGTGTGTGAGTCTATTGCCAATGCTAAAACTGACCAATGTCTAGTGTCACGCAAAGCTACAACAACAACAGCAATAACAATGCTCAAACAGAATATGTAGGTAAATAATGGGTGTCAAGCGACCAAATATCAGCACTGAATACCTCAAATAGGTTAGCAAAAAAAATATTCCTGCTGTGTCATAAAGAGAAAATAAAGTACACGAAATGAAAATGTTTTTTCTTGCAATGGCAAAACTAAAAACTTGGCGAAGAAATTCTATCGGAGAATTTCAAGAATTCCAGAATTAAATAGTTTACTTGATTCATGAAGACTTATACAATCATCAATGAATATTGGGACTTTGTTAGACTTTACTATGAGTCTGAGTGACTAATTTTTGCATATTTCACATTTACATGACATTTGGTTATGAATATCTTTTAAGTCGATCGGCATTTAGTTTAGTTTAGTTTATGGCTCACTCTTAGATATTTGCAGACGTTGAGCAGATGTAGGCAGCTCTAATAAATCATGCTGTCTATCTAGTCGCGTCTAGACAAATGCAAATAAATTGAAAAATAATAAATTGTCTTAGTTGAAGGCAACAAAAACAACAACAACTATGGCAACAACATAGATACTGCCGCACAAAATGTGTAGCATAAATAATTCCACCCACAAAAAATAAAAATATAGAAATATATATATGTTATATATATATATATGTAGAAAAAAGATTACACAGTCACTAGGGCGACACACTAAAAGGAAAGTCATACAGTCTGTTTGCGGCGTCGCAGTCGCAGTCGCAGTTGCTAGTGACGCTGGCGCTAGCAGCGCTGCATTTGTCCTTTGCTAGGCATTCAGTTCTCTTTCGCTTTCAATTTGACTCGCTTTTGGCGCTCTCTCACACACACACACACACTCTCTCTCTTGCTCGCTCTCCCTCTCAAATTCGCTGCGTCTGCCTCTCGTTAAACTAACCTACATCAACAGCTGTCAAGTGCGGCGCCCTTCATATTGTTCTTTCCCCATCAGTGTCAGAGCCAACAAGAACTGCAATGAATTAAAAACAACAACAAAAATAAACAATAACAAAAGCTATAACAAGAAGAGGAAGAAGTAGACAAAGTGTTAGCATTATAATGCAAATATTAAAGCTGCCGGCGAGATTAATCAAAAGTAAAGCAAAAATTAAAATCAACTCATTCAATACAAATGAAGACGCTGGCGAGCGTCTTCCTTTCACCGTCTGACTGACTGTGACTCTCTCGCTCTCGCTCTCTGTCTCACCATCTCCCCCACTGTCTTGTGCGCGCTATCTCTATCTATTGCTCGCCTGAATGCCCGCCTGCACACGTACTCCCGCTTAACCGTTAACTACTCACGCGCGCGCTCTTTGCCACTCGCTGCCGCTCTCTTGCTCAGTCCCGCTCTCGCTCTGGTGGCTCTCTGTGCGGTGGGAGTGTGAGCCTTGGTTGGTTGGTCAAACAGCTGTTTATCCGGTCTCCTTGTGCGTCGACGCGTGTGTACATAACCTCAATTGGCAGCAGTTCGTGTCGCGCCCGTTGCGTACTCGGGCCGCTCTTGAATGTCGCGGTAGGCGGCGACGCCAGCTGCCAGCGCTGCCAGCGCTGCCAACGCAACGTCGGCGTCAACGTCAGCGTCAGCGTTAGCTTTGACATACGCTGCAAGTGTCCAACACTCGCACTCGTACTCTCTCTATCCCACTGCCTGTCTCCATCTCTCCCTCTTTTTCTCTCTCGCTCTCTCAGTCTCTATCAAATTGACGAGTGCAACGCGAACGGCAACGACAGCGACAACGACTAACCCTAGGAGCAGCTCTCAGGCCGAGCCGCAGGCTTTGGCTGGCGCGGGTGTGGACGTCGCTGCAGCTGCAGCTGCTGCTGCGAAGCCGACGTCAACGCAAGCAACAACAAGAAGCGCAACAGCAACAGCAGCAGCAATAGCAATAGCAATAGCAGCAGCAATAGCAGCAGCAGCAGCAGCAGCAGCAGCAGCAGCAACAATCAGCAGCAACATCAGCGCCCTGAGTGCACCGACAATAATATGAGGAGTGGCAGTTCGGAATTACTACTCGAGCAGCAACAACAAGAGCTACGGTTACGTAAAATCCGAGAACTGGCTCCAAAAAAGAAAAATGGCAATCGGCGCTTTCGTTCGTGGCGGGAACGTGCGCGTTTCTATGGCACCTCAACACTCGCCTTCTTCTCGGTGACGGCCGGCGCCTCGCTGCTGTTTCTGGTGCCGCTCTATGTGGATCCAGCGATATCGACACTGAGCCACGACTTTATCGAACATCCAACACTGTGCACAACAACACGGCGCGAGGATCTTGTTGGCATATTCAATTGCTCGTGGAGCTCCTGCCGCGAGGGCTGCACCTCCGATCTGTATCGCTGTGTGCACATCTATGTGACATTTATCGAACAAAATATAACGATACCAGAGAACATGACCGACTATACAAACTACACCGCTGAGTGGGAGCAGTCCAGCGAGGCCACACTGCTCGTCAACATTAAGGGCTGCGGTTATCCGCCCACAGTGACGTGCAAGAATTTTAATATGTACTACGGCGTCGAGGGCGCCATCTATCCGTGTTTCTATTCGCGTAAAAACAAGACCGTCGTCTTAACATCCTACAATCATGACGATCAGGAGGCCATCATCATCCATTTTTTTGTGGTGCCCTTTGTGATAACGGTCATCTCATCAATCGCACTCTGCATCATGCACTGCGATTGCCGCTGCAAAAAGGATCGCAGCCATCGACGCAATCGTCCCCAGTGCCGCAGGCCACGCATTGAGAATCTCAGGTGAGCCACGTTGACTGTTAAGCAGTCAGTGATTCAAGTGATGCAAGTAAACTTTAACTAACTGTGCATTCAGTTTGAAATACACATAAACCTAAAGGCTTAAAGGCTTATCAACTTCTCTCTAATCCAAAATTTCGGAACGTTCAATGCGACAAAGTAATTTTCTTATGGAATTCATACAGAGCTTTCCATATTCGACTGACTCTACGAGTTGCGCATATTCGACGGACCCATGTTTTTTTTTTTTTTTTTTTTTTTTTTTTTAAATAAAAAAAAGGTTGTTTATTATATTTATTATTTATATATATTTTTTATTTATATTTGGTTCATTTAGACGCCGTATTGTGTCCGCCGCTATCAAAAGATATAGGGTTGCCAGTTGGGTCTGTCTTATGGTACAAGACAGTTTTTATAGACTTATGTATATATGTATATATGAGTTAGCGTAGACTGAGCCCCAGTAGTTCTTCGATTAGACTTGGATAACTTTTCTCTTGATCTACAAACTTAGTATGTTTAGTATTTATTATATTCTGCTTTTATTATTCAATGTATTCGTTTAGAAGACTAAAGTATTGTTTGTTTTTATGTTATATTATATTATATTATTGCATTATATTATATTATATTATTGTCTCAGACGACATGATATTTGGCCTCTGCAATTGCTCGATTCTAGTTTAGTCTGATAAAGTGTTAAGATGAGGTCTACAGACTATTTAGGTTTGTTTAAAATTCAGAATCTTTAAAAGTGCAGTTATTATTATTATTATTTATTTTTGTTATTTAATGATAAATTGTTTTCTTATAATAAAATGGCTCGAACGCTTTAAGTAGTTTGGTTTGGCTCTTAAAATGCAAAGTTAGCATGGCAGGATTAAACGCAAAAATGAATAAATAAATAAATCCAAATTTTAAGGTTCTACAATAAACATAGTATAGTAATTTCATCATCCAGTTATATATTTATTTCCTTAAAATTAATTCCATTCCCATATTGTCTATAATGTTGAATCGAAGTTTCCAATCTGCAGATGTGTTTCGATAGATCCTATAATTAAGTCGACTGCTGCATTATTATGCATTATGCAGCCTACCTATAGTACGATTAGCACCGACTCTCAACTCGCACAGCTGATGCTCCCCTCAGTATCCGCATCAAGAGCAAGAGCAAGACGCTGCAGCATTGTCGAGTTTTAGTTAATTTGCATGCATCGTTGAGCTGTGTTACAGTTGACTTCAAGTTGCGAGTTCATTTAAATTAATGAAGTTTTCAAAAGTTTGGCAAAAGTTTTTGGGGAACTGAACTTAAGACGCATGCCAGCCACCTGTCCAAACCAATCCAATCTTATCCAGTCAAACTCAATTCGAGTAAGTGTGTTGTCCATTATTTGTTTTGGGTCGAGATTTAAATAATTCAATAATAACATATGCGACGAAATTGAGAGTCGACTTTATAGTTTGGAGTAATGACTGGTCTGTATTATTTATAAGCAAAAGTGTCAAACGTGCTTGTGTGTGGGTGTCTGTGTGTGTACGCCCGCAAGTCACGCATTAACTGCCAGCACACGCACCACGCACCACACTGCGTATGATTGATTTGTTTAGCTGTTGACAAGCCAAAGTTTTCCTTTTCGTTAACTACTGCAGCAGTGCCTTCGATTACTTCCAGACTACTTCACAAGTGCGACAATAGCAATTAAATTTATCATATTGAAAACCTAATAGAAGACAAAGAACAATATTTATTGAGTGCTCCCATTGATTTGTAATTATAATCTCCATTCAGAACAATTCTCTTTCAGTTCCAGTACATTCATTGCCATGGCGAGCTGTGTGGCCTAGGTGAAATTTGCATATCCAAGTCGGAGTTCACATAGAGTCAATCGATAATGAATTGGTCGACCCCATACACACACACATACATGCACACATACATATAGGCCTTCGCATTATTCAATTGCCTCGTGTCAGTTTCACATGCTCAGGCACAGAGCAGGCAATCGTTCAATGCATTCAGTGCCTCCATTGTCCTGCCTTTTGGACTGTTTACCTCATTGTCTATGGCACACGTGCCCAATCAATTAGTAGTCCAATGGGCATTATACCCAGGTAGATTTCGGCCAAATTGACTCCAGCTGAGTTTGTTAGTTAGCCCTTTGTCTCCATCTCGTCTCTTGTTTGTTAAATGCAGCTGCAAGAACTTCATATTCAATCTGAAATCTATTAAATTTGTATATTTGTTTGTCCTTCTTTTCTCTCTCTCTCTCTCTCTCTCTCTATTTTACTGTTTTTCTGACTTCAGGAGTAATTGACACGTCTCGCCCAAAGTTTTCATTTCATTTGAACGCATATGCGCGTTGGATGGATACATATATATATTTCCATATTAAAATGGTAAAGTTTATGCCAGGTGTTGCCACGCCTTTAAGCTAAAAACAAAAAAATAGATGCTAAAAAGGGAATTCGCATAATTTAGCTTGTTTTCAACGGAAATCACTAATAAAAACAGTTGAGAAAGAACTGTTGAAAAGTTGCAAAAACAAACTGGCGTCAGCATGTGCCATTGTTAATGCTATCTGTGACAGACACACACTCACACGCATTCACCTTCACACACACACACACACACACATGTAAGCTTTGTATATGTGTTACATAATCTGCTTACCTTACGTCGCAGTCGCTCGCTGTTTGAGTATGAAAATAATTTCAACGACTTTTGCCGCAGCAGATCAAGTGGTCGTGCAGTGAGTCCTGCGAAATATTGTTATGATTAAAGCTGAGCCATTATAAGCTAATGATCGCTCTGACTCGCACAACTGGCCAACCAAATTGCTGCCAATGAGGCGTATACTGAACGCTTCAAACACTTAACAAAGCAGCGTTGCGAGTGCAGCTTTAGGCGAAAATGGTTGAAGGAGCTGCTGTTGCTGCTGCTGCTGTTGTTGTTGCTGCCTCGTGGCTGCACCTAAAGTGGCCTACTTAGCCGGGCCAACTGCGGCTCCAGCGTCGCTTGCTGCGTGTGTGCCACTTTTCCAGCCAAAGAGTGTTTCTTTTTCTTCAAAGAAACAAGCCTCAAAAAAAAAAAAAAAAAAAAAAAAAAAAAAAACATGCAAAAAAAAAAAAAAAAAATCAATTTCTTTTGCCTTGCAAACGAGGCAGCTGCTGCGCATGCATTAAAGTCACGTCTGCCACATATTCAAATTTCTCACTAAACACTTTTCTTGGTATTATTTGACGCATGTATGTATGCATATTTCTTTCATTCCTTATCTGTTCTCTTGACAAGTGATTTGCACTTATTGCGCCTTGTTTCATCGGGCAAAAACAATTTATTTGCAATGAGCTGAAGCATCATTAATGCATTCAATGGTCGCCTAGTTATTTGCGGGCTGCATTTGCTGGCGATTCGGCACGTATTTTCCCATTTTCCTTTGCGTCTGGTTTTACTCAAGCATCTACAAACAATACAATGCGGCTGGCTTTTATCTTTCGGGTTCAAAATGGGAGCAAGAAAACAGAAATAAAAAAACAAAAGAAAGGGTTTGCTTTTGTTATTTTTATCAGACACATTTCGAACTACTTCTAGCATATGATGAAGGCTGAGAGCTCGTGTGTGTATGTGTCTGTGTCTGTGTGTGTGTGTGCCATCTCGCATCGTAAGTGTGTGTGTGTGTGTGTGAAGGACAGCAACGCCTATTTCTCATCACGCCCACTCTGAAAAATCAATATTAATAATGCGCAGCATATGAATGCTGTTCAATAAATTTTCCTTTTCCGTGCGCCATTCACAATGCAATCCGCATTGAAATACAAAGCCGTTTGGTAACTATCGTCTTCTGCATAACCAGACTGGCAATAAGCCCTGAACACTGCTGCTAGCAGCCAGAGTGGAAAACCAACAACTAGAAAATCAAGCAAAATGGTCCACTGCAGGCGGGCAAATATTTTCGTTGACGCCATTTCATTCAAGCAAATCCCCAACGAAATCCTGCCAGTTGGCAAGCAAAGTCCGCTAAGTCAGTCAG